ATGCATTTTATGCACTTCCTTTTCGAAGCATAGGAGTAGAGGTAAGTAATTATTACTTTGATTGTTCACTCAATCGTCTTTCTCCGTCTCCCTCATTCTTCTTTTAATTTTTGTTTTCGCTACACTTAGCAATTTTGAAGTCCTCTTCGTTGAGGCAAAAGAACCGTCAACGCAATCGCTTGATAATTGGCTTGAATTTAATCTGTAAGGATTTTTCAACCCTTGCTGGCACGTTTGCATTTATGATATTTTCCTTCGTAGGAAAAATAAACCAACAATTTTTGGCACACCCAGTGGGACAGCCAAGTGTAAGAAATGACAAACTATTTGGATTTCGCCATTCGAACTTGTCAATATGAAATATATTGGCGTGAAAGAGAAATTTTGGATCTTCAAGAAGAAATCCATTTTCTTGATGAAATAAACTTTTATCCGTTACAATATTATTTGGTGGAAGAAAAAAGACACCATTTAATTGGAGAAATTCATCAACTTGATATGAAAATTCGCCAATGGAATGATGAGTTATCAACTCTCACTACCAAGTCTTTAACTGAGGCCTTAATGGCCGGAATTGGTGAATTTTTTCAGAATTTTTCCATGGTTAAAAATAGCAAAAGCAAAGAGTTGATTTCATCAATGGCTCGGGAGGTTCAAGAGTCCGTTTTAAAAGAGCCAAATTATGAAATTAATACAACGAAAGAGCATGTTCTTGAGCCAAATTTGGCTAAGAATGATGTTCCATGTATGACTCGGGGGGTTCAAAAACCAAATTTTAGAGAGTCAAGTCATGAAAATAACATATCTATGGGTGATTTTCATAAGCCATTAATGGCTAACATGGAAAAACAACCCACTTTGCCAAATAATTATGAAAACCTATTCGGCAAAAGTCATGTTTTTAAAACAAACATGGTCAAGGATAATGAACAAGCCACTGTTCATGAATTCAAAATTTTGGACATTTTTCAAAATGTCAAAAAGTATGAATCTTCATAGTCACATTATACCATGACTTTTGGTGTTCAAAATCCTTTTTGGATTTGTGGTTCACATCAAAATATAATTTTGATGATGTGGTTAATAAAATTAACAAATTGTTCTTATGAGTTCGAAGTACTAAGAACAAGGGATGACCATTTAAAATGCATGAATTTGGCTAGAAAAAGCTTGTGCATTTAAATAAATGGTTGAGAAGGGCTTATCTTTTCAAATTGATGGTCAATTGTTTGTATGTACACAATCAAAGCATCGAAAATACATTCGAAGCATCAAGAGTTGTTTCGAAGGTTGATTACTCCACCTTCGAAGTTGTATAAAGCTTTGAAGATACATTCGAAACATCAAGAGTTGTTTCGAAGGTTGATTACTCACCTTCGAAACTGTATAAAGCTTTGAAAACTTTCAAAATGTGTACATCTCTTTAAATATATATAAAATGACAATTAATTAGTTGTCGAATAATGCCTGTTTTTGGCATGATAAGTTGGTTCGAAGAACAACAGTTTTGGTGTCTCCGAAGAATTAATAACTAGTTCGAAGCACAAAATTAATAGTTTCATTAATTATGTATGAACCAAAACATACAAAATGTGAATAACTACAATGTTGGCCAAAAGCTGCTTCGAAGGCTCTTTTGCCATAATTTTGTAAGCTGCCAAGCACTCCATCTTGCATTAACAGTTTCGAAGAAACAATAATGGTGGTTGTGAACCTTCGAAACTTTGCCGAGTATTTCTAAGGATGTAATTTGTCCTTTGTCAGCACTTTCAACCTTCGAAAGATGATTTTGGTCCTTTGTACCACCTTCGAAGCTTGTTACTAGTTCATAATAGCTAGCATTCGAGACATCTAGTCATAATTTCATACTCATTCGAAACACTTCATTGGTGCTATTATATCATTCGAAGCACTTAGTTGATATTATTCGAAGCATTTTATTGCTTAGATTAGTCATGTGCTTGGTTCGACCTTTAAAAAATTCAAGTAAACATCATTTTTAAGGGCTGCGGGGGGTAATGTTAGCACCATAAATCTGCAATTTTTATTATTATTTATTATTTATATAATTGCAGGACACGTGGCATCCTCTTATTCATTTGGAAGTTAAAAGAAGTTATAGAGATAATGGAGAATATGAAGGACAAAGTGGATGAGTGGAAGGACACATGGCAAGACAAGAATGAAGATGGAAGAAATTGGTAGTTACTAAGTAGTTATTGCTGTATTTTTTCTTCTATAAATAGCCATTAATGGCTACATTGTAAAGGATTAAATCAAAGACATTTGATTTCAATATTTCTTGTCATTTTCCTTATCTTAGGAGTAGTTTAACATAGATTTATATTTCGAAGCATTTATTTTCGGTATTTCCATTTTGATACATTTTATGCACTTCCTTTTCGAAGCATAGGAGTAGAGGTAAGTAATTATTACTTTGATTATTCGCTCAATCGTCTTTCTCCGTCTCCCTCATTCTTCTTTTAATTTTTCTTTTCGCTACACTTGGCAATTTTGAAGTCCTCTTCATTGAGGCAAAAGAATCGTCAACGCAATCGCTTGATAATTGGCTTGAATTTAATCTATAAGGATTTTTCAATCCTTGCTGACACGCTCGCATTTATGATATTTTCCTTCGTAGGAAAAATAAGCCAAACATATTATTAGTTATTAATTATGTAAAAAGTATCTCCAAACAAAGGAACTAATTATAAATATTCATATAAGAAATAATATAATAAAAAATTCATTGACATATAATACTTTTCTAATATGAAAAATCGGTGACATATAGTAATATATTAAAAAAGTTTTTTTGGAAAGAAAAGGTAAAGAAGATAGTGTTCAAAAATTTAATATCATACTTCAATGGATTAAATTGAAAAAAAAAAATTAACTAGCGGCAAAAGTTTAATTTTCAAAAGTTGAGGGGGTACGTACCCTGGTCCTTAATTGCATCCATTGCACGTGGGCTTACTTTTAGGGCAGCTACAAAAAGTGAAATTGTGTACCAACGGAGGGATTAGGAATGAAAAGTATGATTGCCATCTGCCTGGTTTGTTTTTCACAAAAAAAAATTTGAGAAAAATTTTTTACAAATAAATTTTTAAGAGTAAACAAATTAAATAAATTTTTTAAAAAAAAATTTCAAAATTTTGTTTGGTTATCTACTTTCCAAAACCACTATCTCTCTCATACAGATCAAATCAATCACTTTTTTTAAAACTCTCTTTCCAAAATAATTTTTTAAAACTATTTTTGAAAAAATACAAACTAAACAAATTTTCATACTTTTTATCTCAAAAACTACTCTACAAATACAAACCAAACACACCCTATCAATGTTTGGTTTTTGTTGAGTTTTAGAATCAATTTTTTAAAATTCAAAATTCAAAACCTATTTGGTTTTGAGTTTTCATAAAATAATACAGTCCCGTTGCCTCATTTTGAATCCAAAATCCAAAACCCAAAACCTATTTGGTTTCAAATTTTCGCAAAATTGTTTGGTTTTTAGTTATTGGCCAAATAATTTTTTATTTTTTAGATGTATATAATCTAAGAATAATGCTTGGGACCCCCTTTTGGGGGTCACCCACTCACCCCCTTTGTCACGTGGCGGGTGGTGATTGGAGGAGTAGGAAAAAAAAGAAAAAGAAAAAGAAAATGTAACCAATGAGAGAGAGGGGGGGTCAAAGGGGGTGGAAGGAAAAGGGGGGATGAATCATTGTTGATAATCTAAATATACTTAAACAGTAAACAAAATGTGAATAAATAAATAAAAAATCAATAAATAAATAAAACATTAAAATTGAATTAATTTTTAAACTCAGTGAATTTTTTTATATATATTTCTCATTATTCAATAATTTTATAATTTTTTTTTTATAAATGTGAAACGTTTTAAATGTATGTAATTTAAGTGGATATAAAATCAAAAAAGAAGTATTAAAATTTTAAAGATGTTTATAAAAAATAAAAAATACATAGTGAAACTCTACTTTACAAATTAGATTAGATGCATCTAAAAAATACATTTAAAGGTAAACAAATTTGACTGTAATATTGCCAAGAAAATTTGACTACAAGACCCAAAAAAAACTAGTTTTGAAAACTCATAATCAAGATTTTGAAAAGTGGTTGCGGTTGCCGTAACAGTTGTGGTAATACGATAGTAGTTGCGGAATATAAAAGTCGTAACGCAACGGTTGTGGTAACCGTAACTGTAATTTTTTTTTTATTTTCACACAATTTAAAGAAACTTACCGATACGCATTCAGAATCACATTTATTGGGATTTAAAATAAATTTTGATTAATTTTTGTTAATTTTTAAGTACAATTCAATATATTTTATATTTTTAAATCACTATAAAATGAGTTTTTTACGTTTTATTTCAATAGTTAATAATTTTAAATGTCTACAAATTTTTTTTTACCAATACCTGAATTGACTGAATAAAAAATATTCACAATTATTAAATAAAAGGATTATAAAATAAAAGTTGTGCCATAAATTAAAAAATATATATAACGAAAAAAAATTCATATAAGATTTTTTTCTTTTGACTTGGATTACTTGAGTATTTATTTATTTATTTATTTATTTTTTTGTGGAAAAGGAAGCTATTCAAAATATTGTAAAAAGGTATAACGGTGTCTAGCAGACTGTTACGATACTGCTACTGCCGTTATGTAACACCAAAACGGCCGTTACATATGTAAATTCCCATCAAACTGCTATAGCGGTTTTAACATGTGGCGGTAACCACTACAACCATTACGTAACGACGTTACGTAATGGCTGCGACTGCTTTTTAAAACCTTACTCATAGCCAAACAAGTTTTGAATTTTCAAAATTATAAAAATTATTTTCAAAATATATAACTCCAAAACTAATTTTAAAAAGGGAAAAGCTTTTCTCTGGTGCACTAAGTGGACTATAGCGTACTATTGGGCTCTTGGGACCCACTATGGGGTCATGTTTCGATAATTTGAATTGTTCAATGTGTAGAGTTTATCAAATACTTCACACCTGCAAAAAATCATGTTGATTAGATATCGATAGCCCTTGATCGAAACACATTTTTGTCAATCGTAAATATAATTTTAAAAATAAATTGTTAATAAAAATGTGTTCCGATCAAGGGGTTACCGATATCCGATCAACGTATTTTTTTACAGACATAAAGTACTTTACAAGCTCTACATATTGAATAGTTTGGATCATTGAAACGGGACTGCGGTAGACTTCACGGACTCAACAGTATATTCCAGTCCACGATTGGACTAGAAAAAAGTCTCTTCCTTTTGAAAACTCATAATCAAACAAGTTTTGAATTTTCAAAATTCTTTACACAAAATTATCTTTTAAAATTCATTCCCAAAACTAAACCAAATGCGCGCTATAATTTACTCAAAATAAAATAAAATAAAATAAAAGAGAGAATAGAGTAAGTAGCTTGAGATGACAAGAAACTGAACCCAAAAACAAAAACAAAAAGAAAAATAAAAACAAAAAGAATGGAAGCAATTATTACTAAACTTACCAGCACTAGCAGTGATTGATATGTTGGAATAGAATTGGAAATCATGATACCACCTGTTGCAACTCATCCCATAAATCTCCCATCCTCTTTTATCTTCAACAGAGTACGTAAAACTCATCAATTGATCATCCAAACACTTTCCACAATCTGACCTACTCAAATCCCTCCTGCACTGAGCCATCCCATACCTCTTCCCACTCTGCCCAACATCCAACACCGACATCTCAACCATCCGCGGCTTATTTGGAGCCATCGACGCAATCCCAGACATGAATGCCACCCCTTTTGGCACCACAGCAGCGTCATCAAAACCCATGTCAGTCGTCACTCCCATCGAGCCTTTTTCCCAGACACCGAAGAAACTTTTATTCGAATAGCGAAGAAAACACCATGTGAACCAAACCTCAACAGAATTGCTGTTTGAAATGTTTTGCAATGCCACATTGATGGACTCATTGATACAATTGGTGCAATTGGCGGGTGAGATGTCGGCTCTGCATTGTGCTAGGCCGTAGACCTTGTCAGAGTTTTTGCCGAATGTGGATTTGTAGAAGCCATTGGGAGCCACATTTGATGATAGTGAATTGAAGAGATTGTTGAGATTGGACTTGAATTTGTCACCGAGAGCTATGTTGTCTGAGAACTGGTAACCTTTGCTCTCATTAATATCACCATTAGAATGAGTACATGACAACATGAAAATTGATACTGCTAAAATGAGGAATTTTGATCCTTTGGACTGAGATGTCTTCATTTTCTTTTGAATCTCTACTTGCTTTCATGAATTTATAATGAAAAAAATGAAAAGATTTGCCCAATTCTTGTAAACCACTTGAAACTTCACATTTCTTGTTGAATGTCCAAGTCAACTCATCTTGATTAAAAGAGATGAGTTGTTCAGAACGAAGCAAAGAGGTCGGCACATTGTGGCTTCTGACATTTTATATTGAAGTCAAATCAACTAGTATTATTTTCTTGGAAATCGATTCTTTCAAGGTGGACATCCAATTAGAGAAGTGTTGTTGGTTTTGGTAAGCCCATCCCGTTAACCTAAACTGTTAAGCTTATAAAACTTATTTAGGAGTGCATCTACCCCAAAAATAAATAAATAAATAACAAAAATTAAAATGATTGAATATAGATCGGTTATTTTTTAAAACATTTTGTAGGGCTTGTCAAATAATTATTAGTATTATTTATTTTTTTATGACAAACACAATCTGATGATATAACTATCGATTTTCAAAATATCCTATTTTTTGCATGGATGATGTTTTAGTGAGTTTTATAAAATGAACAATTTGGATTAATATATATACTCCAAGATAGGTTTGCCAATCCCAGTAGCACCTCGAGAAACTATTTCCTATTTTCGTAATATTAGTTTCCTTATGAAATCTAATTACAGTACAAGAAAAAAAATATTCAAAGTCATCATAATTTATTTTAATTCACTTCATAAAAAAAAATTTAAATAAAAAAAAATCAAACTTCAGACGAAGCCTAAATTATGAGAATCACTACAAGAATTAACACTTTTGGCAACAAAAAAATTGGTCGCTAAAAGTCTATTTTTGGTCGGCAAAAGTTATCCGCGACCAAATTTTTTGGTCGCTACTTTGGTCGCCAATTGAGGGTCGGCAAAAGTAACAAAAAAATTTTGGTCGCGAAAAAATGACATTTGTCGACCAAAATATTAATTAGTCGCGAATGATAATTATTTTTGGCGACCAAAATGAGTTGGTCGCAAAATGTCACATTTTGGCGACCAAAAATGATTTAGTCGCAGAAATTGGTATGCTTTTGGCGACCAACTTCAAATTTGGTCGCGGAAGGTTACATTTTGGCGACTAAAAAAATTTAGTCGCCAAATTAGTACTTTTAGCAACTAATATTTTAGTCGCCGTTGATTGAGATTTAGCGACTAAAAAAATTTGTTGCCGAAGGTAGCTTTTTTGCGACTGATATGGTGTTTTGGTCACCAAAAGTGTTTGGGAGGGAAATTTCAAACAGGGAGGGGGGAAATGAAACTTTTTTGCGACAAAAAAAATTTGGTCGCCAAAGTAAAAACGACGTCGTTTTGTACCTGGAAAAAAAAAAAATTAAAAGAAGGCCCTGATCTCCTCTGTCTCCTACTCTCCCTCTCTCTGTGTTCTCTCTCTCAATCGGCTTGCAACTGCTCAAGAATTGCAGCCAATTCCAGTCCAGATTCCAACATGTCTTCCTCAATCTTCTCTCTCGTCTCCTGATCCTCGGCCACGTCCGTCGCACATCGCCATCGCCCTCTGTCTAATGGACTCCTCACCCAATCTCACTCTCATCGCTGACCAGCGTCGTACGCCACTGCTAGCGCCACCGCCACCGCCACCGCCACCGCCACATCCTCACAGGTTCTCTCTCACTCTCGGTCTATCTGTCTCTCTCTCTCTCTGTTTCTCGCTCTCTCCCTCTCTAGCCTTTGCCCTC